TGTAATATTGTTGAAAATGTAACGGATAGTATTGTAGTTTTTAAAATATCCCGTGTATTATCACTTGATGACAAAGATACGTATTTATTTATCAATTATTTTCCTCCAGCGAATAGTACTTACTATGAAAACCATGATGTAGATCTTTTTGTAAAACTAGAAGAAAGTATTTCCACACAGTGTAACCCTTACACATGTAATATATTAGCTATCGGAGATTTTAATAGTCGAACCGGAGAAGTTGATGATTTTATTACATCTGATCGAATTGGTAATATATCTTGTAACATCCTATCTAATATCGTGAGCTATTTACCTGATAATAACATGAAAAAACGTACAAGCATGGATAAGACTGTTAACCAATTTGGGAGACAATTAATCTCTCTGTGTAAAACAACCGGTTTACGTATTATAAATGGAAGACACACCGATGATGCTATAGGAAATGTTACTTTTTATAATGCAAGAGGTTCGAGTGTCATAGATTATGTATTAACACACGAGTCATGTTTTGAAATTGTTAAAAGTATTGAAGTTGGAGTTTTTAACATATATTCTGACCATTGTCCGGTCATTTTTTCCATTTGTGTAAATAAAGGTATGTCAGATAACGTGGCTGATGAGTGTTCCGTGAGTCAGCATGAGAGATTACAGCGTGTGAATGTGAAATGGAAGGATGCGAATACAGAGGAAGTTACGAGAGTACTAGAGAGAAATATTGATAGTTTAATAGATATCTGTAATGTATCTGATCTCAGCAAAGCTAGTATTGATATGAGTGTAGATACGTTCGCATGTGAACTTAATAATCTTATTTTACCTTTTTGTACTAGTAGTAATAATGTTATACGTAATAATGTGAGAAACTCAGACAGAGTTGATGATAAACCATGGTTTAACGTACATTGTAAACGATTATATAGAGAGTATAAAAACGCCCTTTACACGTTTAATAATTGTAAAAACGATGAAAATCGTATTAGTCTTACTAATAAGAAAAAAATGTATAAAAAGTTGGAATATAAACTTAAAAAAGAATACAAATGCCATCAAGGTAACATGTTAAACTATATGAGAAAACATAATCCTAGGGCATTCTATAAACACTTTAAAAATCGAAAAAAGAATGTAAAAAGTGAACTGAATGCAACCGATTTTTTCGATCATTTCCAAAAGTTAGCTATATCCAGCCCAACCAATAACGATGACGTTAACGATTTTTTGCTTGAACATGACACTAACGGTCCAAATGTTACATTTGAAGAGTTAGACGTTAATATAACAGAGTCTGAGATATTGTGTGCAATAAAGAAATTAAATACAAATAAGGCATGTGGTCCTGATGGCATTTTAAACGAATACATGATTAAATTTAAGACTGTTTTATTGCCATGCTTAGTTATTCTATTCAACAATATACTCACATCCGGGCACTTTCCGGAAACATGGTCTAAAGGTAATATTGTGCCTGTCTTTAAGAAGGGAGATGCAAATAATACTAATAATTACAGAGGTATTACTCTAGTTAGCTGTTTGGGAAAACTTTTTACGTCAATCATTAATAATAGACTGATGTCATTTGATAAGAAATACAGTAAGATAACTGACGCTCAATTTGGATTTAGAAAAAATCTTTCAACTATAGACGCTATATTTGCATTACAGGCCATAATTAATCGGAGTCTTAAACATAAGAAACGATTGTATTGTTGTTTTATTGATTATACAAAAGCATTTGATTTTATTAATCGACAAAATATGTGGTTCAAATTAATAAGGGAAGGAATTGATGGAAAGTTATTAGTGTTAATAAGGTCTTTGTATAATAACGTAAAATGTTGTGTTAAGTATAATGGTTCATTATCTGACTTCTTCAATTGTGTAAACGGATTGTTTCAAGGGGAAATTTTGTCTCCATTATTGTTTTCATTATATGTAAATGACTGTGAGATGCAATTTTTAATTGACAACTGTCCATCGATAGAAATTCAAACTTTAAATCTGTTCCTGCTGATGTACGCAGATGACATGGTAATTTTTTCGGAAACACCAGAAGGCTTGCAAGACATGTTAAATTCTTTAGAAGCATTTACAAAAAAGTGGGATCTAACGGTCAATACAGATAAAACAAAAGTGCTGGTTTTTAGAAATGGTGGTATTTTAAGAAACAATGGAAATTGGACATATAACGGATGTCCTTTGGAAATCGTAAATGAATTTAATTATCTAGGTATGTTGTTAAATTACAACGGCACTTTCAGAAAAACACAGCAAAAAATAGCAGATCAAGGAAGGAAAGCTTTATTTTCAGTTATGAATGTATGTCGTAATAATTATTTTAATATTGAAACCCAACTATCAGTATTTGATACATATGTAAACAGTATTTTGTGTTACGGTTCAGAAATATGGGGTTTTCATAAAGCCCCGGATGTTGAAAAAATACATATTATGTTTTGTAAAAAATTACTCGGTGTGCGTAAAAATACTTGTAATGCTATGGTTTATTTAGAGCTTGGTAGATATCCATTATCACTGCTGAGGAAATTCAGAATTTTTAAGTATTGGATAAAGATTATAAATACCGATAATTGCATTTTAAAATCATGTTATGAAGACATGTTAGTGCGTAACGACAAATGGGTAATTAATATCAAGAATGAATTATATAGAATAGGTCTAGGTTACATATGGCAAACAGATAACATTGATAATAGCTGTTTGATTATAATTAAAGAAAGACTTTTAGATATTTATAGACAAGATTGTATAGAACAAATTAGAACATCATCAAAAGGATTTTTTTATACATGTCTTAACAAAGAAGTTGGTATACAGGGTTATTTAAGAAAATCGTTTATGAAAGGTTACTTAAAAGAAATAACAAAAATTCGGCTTTCAGCCCATAATTTAAATGTAGAGAAAGGTCGTTATCAAAATATTCCGCGACTTTTAAGAATCTGTACCGCTTGTGATATAGATGATGTCGAAGATGAATTTCATTTTATTCTTAAATGCCCCTGTTATTCTGATTTACGTGAGAAATTTTTAAAAAAGTACTATTGTAAAAAACCGAGCATGTTTAAATTAATTCAGTTATTTAACGGACAAAACACAAATGAATTAGCAAAATTGGCCAAATACATTAAAGCTGCAAATTCAAGAAGAGCTTTATTAACATAAGTAGTTATGCTCTCCGAGTGTTTTGTCTCGTCTGTGTATTTATTAGTATTTTCGATATTTGTCAATGTTATGAGAAAGTATATATATATATATATAATGTATATGTGTTACACTGATGAGTCGCAAGACTCAAAGTTAATAAAGAACTTGAACACAGCAGCATAAAGTCGCCATTGTAAACGCTACGTCAGTATTGCTTGTGTGCCGCGGTACTTGCTCATCTACCTACGCACACACCCATCGACCCAGTTTTATGTGCTTTTCGCGTCAAGTCATGCATGCATACTGAGGAAGAAATGTGGTACATTTTGTAATTACACCTTTAAACCTCACTATAGAAAACATATTTTGATCTTCAAAGATATTTGGAAAGCAGATTGACAAAATGAAAGAAACCAAGTGGAACTATCATAAAAACATGTTAATTATTTATCAGTTCGTAATATAATGGATGAAATCGAACGGGTAATGGTATGGGAAAGTAACGCCTGGCTGAGAGATGTTTACACAAAACAGTAGAAGGTTAACGTACTGAACACACGTACCTATATATAGCACAACGATCATATATATTTGTATCCGCGTGTTTCCGTGTTTATTGCCCTCACTTCGGATAATCTCTATTCCTTTAGATGCAGTGATATTTTCAGTATCTACATATTAAAAGTGTTTTGCATATATAACGACTTTTCCTGTTTGAAAAAAGAACTTATACTAGGTATTAACGAATCAACAGAGTTTCACTCTTAATATTTTGAACGTTTCCGAATCCTTCTCGTTATTAACATGATTTTTTTCTAGCATCACCTTTATACTTTTCTTTCACTATCTGCTGATACATTTGGAAAGTTTAAATCATAAATTTGTGGCCTGAACACTTCAGAAAGTATACATTTTTATGTATATCTCTTGATATATATTAAAGCAATTGTCCAAAGCTTCAACATTTTATTTGTTCTTAAATAACACATCGGAGTAACTGTAAACAACGCTTAGACATTCTTATCTCTTGATATAGACGTTCTTACCGCTTGATATAGACGTTTTTACCGCTTGATAAAGACGTTCTTACCGCTTGATATAGACGTTCTTACCACTTGATATAGACGTTCTTACCGCTTGATATAGACATTCTTACCGCTTGATATAGACGTTTTTACCGCTTGATATAGACGTTTTTACCGCTTGATAAAGACGTTCTTACCGCTTGATATAGACGTTCTTACCACTTGATATAGACGTTCTTACCGCTTGATATAGACGTTCTTTCCGCTTGATATAGACGTTCTTACCGCTTGATATAGACGTTCATAGCATGGATATTTCCAATATGTTATTTCCTATACACTGATATTGGAAAGTTATGTGTGGCACATGAGTACAATTACTACTTTTTGGCTGCAATCTACCGATTTGAGATTTCAACCAGAGTTCACTATGAATTGTTTAATCTTAGGCAGGTAAACACAGGTACAGAGCTATCGTAATCTTACCCTATGTAAACGTGAACATCAAATTAAAGTGATATGAATCCACTTCGAGAGTATACAGCGCGAAGTTCTAAGATACGTGCACAGAATTAACAAGGTAACGACAACAGCTAAGGTAAATATATAGCACCACCTCATACTAAGTTACTAAGGTGAAAGTGGCATGGAATGGCCACATGCAGAATGACGGCATCGACATTTTGATCCAAACTTATATTACTTACGGTTCAAATTCAGCGAGGTAGGTACATCCATGCACTGGTACATAGAGTAATTAATAATTGTGATATCAGAGTGGGTTCATGATAGAAGCTTGTGCTCTTCCTTTTTTGGATGTCACTTATTTTATTCACACTCTGCTAAAGTAGAGAAAGACTAGTTCTGAAGTCTGCAGTACATATGTGATATTAATGGTAGACTGTCGCCAACAGTTTAACGTATCATGACAAGTACCATATGTGGTTCCGGAAACGCTTCGTATTGCCTCTGGTGTTTGTGGAGCGTCATTATGCACTTAAGTAAAAATGTATTATTTTTATTTCAATTAATGTTTTTTTTCGTTTGTCATTATATCACTGTTTCATTTTGTGTGTTTTCACGTTTTTTGTTTCTTTTTTACTTATTAATATGTGCGGTGTCACTTTGTTACTATTTTATTTATTAGTATGTGTGGTGTCACTTTGTTACTATTTTATTTATTAGTATGTGTGGTGTCACTTTGTTACTATTTTATTTATTAGTATGTGTGGTGTCACTTTGTTACTATTTTATTTATTAGTATGTGTGGTGTCACTTTGTTACTATTTTATTTATTAGTATGTGTGGTGTCACTTTGTTACTATTTTATTTATTAGTATGTGTGGTGTCACTTTGTTACTATTTTATTTATTAGTATGTGTGGTGTCACTTTGTTACTATTTTATTTATTAGTATGTGTGGTGTCACTTTGTTACTATTTTATTTATTAGTATGTGTGGTGTCACTTTGTTACTATTTTATTTATTAGTATGTGTGGTGTCACTTTGTTACTATTTTATTTATTAGTATGTGTGGTGTCACTTTGTTACTATTTTATTTATTAGTATGTGTGGTGTCACTTTGTTACTATTTTATTTATTAGTATGTGTGGTGTCACTTTGTTACTATTTTATTTATTAGTATGTGTGGTGTCACTTTGTTACTATTTTATTTATTAGTATGTGTGGTGTCACTTTGTTACTATTTTATTTATTAGTATGTGTGGTGTCACTTTGTTACTATTTTATTTATTAGTATGTGTGGTGTCACTTTGTTACTATTTTATTTATTAGTATGTGTGGTGTCACTTTGTTACTATTTTATTTATTAGTATGTGTGGTGTCACTTTGTTACTATTTTATTTATTAGTATGTGTGGTGTCACTTTGTTACTATTTTATTTATTAGTATGTGTGGTGTCACTTTGTTACTATTTTATTTATTAGTATGTGTGGTGTCACTTTGTTACTATTTTATTTATTAGTATGTGTGGTGTCACTTTGTTACTATTTTATTTATTAGTATGTGTGGTGTCACTTTGTTACTATTTTATTTATTAGTATGTGTGGTGTCACTTTGTTACTATTTTATTTATTAGTATGTGTGGTGTCACTTTGTTACTATTTTATTTATTAGTATGTGTGGTGTCACTTTGTTACTATTTTATTTATTAGTATGTGTGGTGTCACTTTGTTACTATTTTATTTATTAGTATGTGTGGTGTCACTTTGTTACTATTTTATTTATTAGTATGTGTGGTGTCACTTTGTTACTATTTTATTTATTAGTATGTGTGGTGTCACTTTGTTACTATTTTATTTATTAGTATGTGTGGTGTCACTTTGTTACTATTTTATTTATTAGTATGTGTGGTGTCACTTTGTTACTATTTTATTTATTAGTATGTGTGGTGTCACTTTGTTACTATTTTATTTATTAGTATGTGTGGTGTCACTTTGTTACTATTTTATTTATTAGTATGTGTGGTGTCACTTTGTTACTATTTTATTTATTAGTATGTGTGGTGTCACTTTGTTACTATTTTATTTATTAGTATGTGTGGTGTCACTTTGTTACTATTTTATTTATTAGTATGTGTGGTGTCACTTTGTTACTATTTTATTTATTAGTATGTGTGGTGTCACTTTGTTACTATTTTATTTATTAGTATGTGTGGTGTCACTTTGTTACTATTTTATTTATTAGTATGTGTGGTGTCACTTTGTTACTATTTTATTTATTAGTATGTGTGGTGTCACTTTGTTACTATTTTATTTATTAGTATGTGTGGTGTCACTTTGTTACTATTTTATTTATTAGTATGTGTGGTGTCACTTTGTTACTATTTTATTTATTAGTATGTGTGGTGTCACTTTGTTACTATTTTATTTATTAGTATGTGTGGTGTCACTTTGTTACTATTTTATTTATTAGTATGTGTGGTGTCACTTTGTTACTATTTTATTTATTAGTATGTGTGGTGTCACTTTGTTACTATTTTATTTATTAGTATGTGTGGTGTCACTTTGTTACTATTTTATTTATTAGTATGTGTGGTGTCACTTTGTTACTATTTTATTTATTAGTATGTGTGGTGTCACTTTGTTACTATTTTATTTATTAGTATGTGTGGTGTCACTTTGTTACTATTTTATTTATTAGTATGTGTGGTGTCACTTTGTTACTATTTTATTTATTAGTATGTGTGGTGTCACTTTGTTACTATTTTATTTATTAGTATGTGTGGTGTCACTTTGTTACTATTTTATTTATTAGTATGTGTGGTGTCACTTTGTTACTATTTTATTTATTAGTATGTGTGGTGTCACTTTGTTACTATTTTATTTATTAGTATGTGTGGTGTCACTTTGTTACTATTTTATTTATTAGTATGTGTGGTGTCACTTTGTTACTATTTTATTTATTAGTATGTGTGGTGTCACTTTGTTACTATTTTATTTATTAGTATGTGTGGTGTCACTTTGTTACTATTTTATTTATTAGTATGTGTGGTGTCACTTTGTTACTATTTTATTTATTAGTATGTGTGGTGTCACTTTGTTACTATTTTATTTATTAGTATGTGTGGTGTCACTTTGTTACTATTTTATTTATTAGTATGTGTGGTGTCACTTTGTTACTATTTTATTCATAAGTATGTGTCGTGTCACTTTGTTACTATTTTACTTATTAGTATGTGTGGTGTCACTTTGTTACTATTTTATTTATTAGTATGTGTGGTGTCACATTGTTACTATTTTATTTATAAGTATGTTTGGTGTCACTTTTTTACTATTTAACTTATTAGTATATGTGGTGTCACTTTGTTACTATTTTATTTATTAGTATATGTGGTGTCACTTTGTTACTATTTTATTTATAAGTATGTTTGGTGTCACTTTTTTACTATTTAACTTATTAGTATATGTGGTGTCACTTTGTTACTATTTTATTTATTAGTATGTGTGGTGTCACTTTGTTACTATTTTACGTATAAGTATGTGTGATTTTACTATGTTATTGTTTCTATTTTATTATTTATTTGTCTGTTATCACTGTTATTTTTTTCTATTTTAATCATATGATTTCAACAAAATGTAGATGCACACCTTAAACTTATTTTTCCCAGAATAATATTGCACTTTTGGTATTTGTCTGGACAAACTTACAGTTTTTTGGAAGGAGAGGTTCAAAGGGATACACGTTATATTCAAGATGGACGCTAAGCCCCCTGGTTGGCCGAGACAATTTCGGTTATACCTCGAGGTCTTCGGACCCGATTTTGTTGAAACTTTTGTTGAGGTCCACTCAAATTCTATCCTCAATCCCATTTCCATCACTCATAGGATTTATTGTAACCTTGGTGTTTGTATTTACTCGCAAGTTTTACAAACTTCTTGACAACATATTACGCTTGCAATGTGAGGGGAAAAGTATGGATATGGCTTACAGTTATAGTTGTTTCTATATTGTGTGGTGTCATTTTAATATTGTTTGAATATTACTTTAAATTCATAAGAGAACCAGGGCAATCATTACTGCGTGGGATAAGAATATCCGCTATTTATTTGTTGACTAAGGCGTCTGTTTCGTTGCAATATAATTTTGAGGAAAGGGAATGAAGGATGGTGATTGGGGAGGGGCCAGGAAAGCAATGTTATGTAGCCAGACAGATGGTAAAATCGCTTTTCAAAAGTTTGTTAGATTTAATAAGACAAGTATAAAGCTGTAGTCGCACGAAAACTACTACGACAGTCTCATAGGATATGGTAATTAAGTTTCATCGTGTGCAAGGCGGTGTGCTCCATCATTAGTAGTGTCCAGACTGACACATCACCAAGCTCCTGTAAACAATATAATTAAAGTATTCAATAGCATGCACAGACGTGGTAAAAAGAGTCAACAATTATGCTGCCGGGGTTTGGTCGAACCATTTACTGACATGGTTTCCTGCGTGTAGTAAACAGTATTCTGATTACGTTTTTGCATGCTACTGAATGACTTCGGTATATTTTTTACAGTACACGTGCCAACATTTATTGAAAGTCTTACTTCATGTAAACAACCACTTCTGAAAACAAATAATTATTTTACAATGTCATAGTATGATATAGTAAAGGCGATATTGCAATCGTTAGTTGGATTTATTTTCGTAGAACTACCCGAAAATGTAGATAATAAAAATGAGATTTATTTTTGATAATGTTCCAATTATAATAACGCAAGTTTCCCATTGCATTTTGTTCTCTTAGACATACGGTATAATGCTGAACGCACTATTAAAACCTCCTACTCTCTAACACTCGTGATACTACGGAGGTTAATATACTATATGTCATTACCGCTGCCTTAATGTATACTATATTATGCAAATTCACATTTGTTAAACATATCTTGTTTTGAATTGATGTTTTGCTCTTTGATGACGCGCAACCACAGTTTGCCTATCGTCTTCAAATTGGATAAAGATATACACAAGGACTTTTTTTTCGTGAATACCTGTTCTGGCATGGTGTTAAATTATGTCAAGCGTAGCATGATAAGGCTACGCCATGGTTGATTGATGTGTGTATTCCAAATGAGATATATACACATGTCCAAGGACATTAGAGTCAACCCCTTATAACTAGATATTAATATAATGATAACTAGTAGGACTGACATGACGTGAGAATGCCTCGATGATCGGTGTAATGGTATTGATATTGTAATGCCTGATCTATTTCAATGCTTTAATATAGATGTTGGGATATACCTTTTAAGGATGAGTGGCTGTATGGAGGATTACAAATGATAACTCAACTACAGATGAACATGTTGGATGGTTTATGTTACGCAGGGGCAGTAATGGACTGTAAGTGAAGATGCTGACACAGCCGGACAAAGGATGGGCGTGGGTAGTGATGGTCGCCTCCTTTTTCATACATTGCTTAAATGCAGGTATGCTTTACGGTACAGGGATAATACAGGTTGCCCTGCTCGAAAGATTCCAGAAGGGGCTAGCTGTAACGTCATGGGCAGGTGCTATTTACATCTTCCTGATGTTTGGAGCAGGTAAAAATACAAATATCTATGCTTGTAAGACATAAATAGTAATAATGTTATATTCTGAAACCAATATCAATTTCATAATACAATACACGAGGGAATGCATTAAAATACAATAACAAAAATATTGAACAGATTTTTGATATACTAAACTAGCAGTTATCACTATAGTTAACCTCATCTTCAAAGTTAGGTTAAACGTGAGTAAGATATATGGATCAATAATACAATGATAAGGAAAAAAAATAAAAATATTAAGGAAAGTTTGTCATGACCTATTAATTCAGAATGATTAAACTGATGGTACAAAGGTACATATAAAACTACAAAGTTAATTGATTCTTCTGATCACTGATGGGGTTGATACAAGCAAACATCCGCCTATGGCAAGCCAAGTTGTCATTTATGCATGGAGCAATGTTGATCCAGTACTTAACCAAATTATATAAGATATCTTATTTAATTATATAAGATATCTTATATACTTTATGAGATATCTTATATACTTTATAAGATATCTTATATAATAAATGAGATATCTTATATATTTTATAAGATATCTTATATACCTTTCTTTATAAGATATCTCATAAAAGATATAAGATATCTTATAAAGAAAATTAAATGAGATATCTTATATCTTTTAGAAGATATCTTATATAATATATAAGATATCTTATAAACAAAATGAAATGAGATATCTTATATAACTCGGTTATAAGATATCTTATAACGAACGAGATTTGAATTTGAGATAATAAACCCTCCTCCACAGCGCTCGGTAAAGCATTAAATCGAAAGCCTTAGTTTCGTACGTATCTCTTAACCGGAAATGAAGTATGTGAAAGTGAAAGTAGGAGTTTAATGCCACCAAATAGGTCTGGTTATAGCGGTATTAACATTATTTTAAAAGGTTAAGCTTTATAAAGTAGATGGGGGGTAAGTGGTGGAGAAATGGATGTTCCTATGTATTTCATAACTGAAGGAAAACGATCCTACTGCATGTATTACTTACAATTTATTCATTAAAATGTTTTATCTTGATTTTCTTCACGGATTTCCTCTAAATGTTTTTAAAGAAATTTGATAAAATTGTAATATTACCCGTACAAATTCACAGACAGGTAATTGACATTAAACATATTAGGAACATTTATTAATTGTTTCGGCTGCTTATCACAGACCGCATTAAAGCCATTTTGGTCTCTGTGGAGTATAACATATAGATAGACATGGGGACATTTTTTTTTATTTACTGTTTCAGACTGGTCATACACCTGTATTTATTATCACAGACAGGCTATGTATCTTTAATTATATTGTTTCAGATAAAATTGTTTTAACTATCACAGACATTAAAGAACATACTTATGTATTTGTAATTCTATGTTCTATCAATATACTGTAATGTAAGGAACATTAATTCATTGTTTCAAACTGGTTATAAACTTGTATTTACTTATACTATTACAGACAAGAAGTAATATTTCATTATTTGATACATATGTATACAGATAAGTGATATTTCATCATCAGGTGCATGTTCTTTAAAGTCTTTGAGATATTGATCACTTATAAGATATATTTTGTAGAGATACAATTGTATTTTGTGACCTAAAAGGCATTTCACACAAGCCAGATACATGGTAACACTTACAGCATGTCTGTAGTAGTAATTACATGTGTAATACCTGTCTGTGATAGTATATACATGTGTAATACCTGTCTGTGATAATATATGCATGTGTAATAACTGTCTATAGTAGTAATTACATGTGTATTACCTGTCTGTGATAGTATATACATGTGTAATACCTGTCTGTGATAGTAAATGCATGTGTATGATCTGTCTGTGGTAGTAAATACATGTGCAATACCTGTCTGTGATAGTATATTCATGTGTAATACATGTATGTAGTAGTACATGTTTAATACCTGTCTGTAGTAGTATTTATGTGTAATACCTATCTGTGATAGTATATGCATGTGTAGTACCTGTCTGTAGTTGTAATTACATGTGTAATACCTATCTGTGATAATATATACATGTGTAATACCTGTCTGTAGTAGTAACTACATGTGTAATACCTATCTGTGATAATATATACATGTGTAATACCTGTCAGTAGTAGTAACTACATGTGTTATACCTGGATGTAGTAATATATATATATATAATATATTGCTGAGCATCAAAACTTGGATACACTTTTGTTAGAAAGACTTGTCCTAACTCAGTGCCTCTTGTTTATTATAAAACACAACAAAGATATCTTTATAAAGAAATATTGAGAAGGTTATATAATGATTTGTATACAGATTATACAAACTAGTAAACAGGGTAAATAAGAAGTGGTTTACAGAGTATATAAAGAATGGTATATAGAGAGTGGTATACAGGGTACATAAAAAGTCCTTATTTATTTAGTAAGGGTATCCTCTATAATACAGCCTCATTGCATAAGGTACCTGTATTTATCATCTCTATTATATATAGTGTATTGACTCATTTTCCAGAAGATACAATGTACATGATACAAAGTATATACATGGTATATTTCCGGTAAAGAGGAAAATAAGACATTTCATCTTCAAAAACCTGTAATTGTAGCATATCTCAGGTCTGAAAAAAACAGAGGCAAATCAGTCACTGGGCCAGAGCATTTGGGTGCCAATAGAGGAAGTTTGGGTGTAAAGATAATTAAGATCCCCCACCATGTAACCATCTGAATACATCCATGCTTACATGATTGGCGCCAGGGTCCTGCCCTGCCACAAGGGGCTTATAGTCCCCAAATTTTACATGAAATCAGTAAAGATCCCATCCAAATGCTGCTGGGCATGCAGAGGAAAAACACTCATGATACCAAGATAGTCCCTAATGGAGCCCACCCCATCCCTGAGGACTTACTCCTTCAGTCATAACATGGAAATTGTTGAGATCCCCAAGCTGATATTTCCTGTATGGTAAGAGGTAATCAACAACTTTTAATGAAAAATATTATTCCAGGTGAGCTATTAATAATGTGCCTGTGCTTCTTGTTCTTGAGAGGCCACAATAAGGGAACATAAATGGGAAACTCCAGCACAAGCAAACATGTTATATTTCCTGTGCATGCAATCAATATGAACCAATATCAGACAACTATTATAAAGATGAGGTACCTTACCTACAGAGAATATGGACCTTACATATACCTCATGTATATGTGCATGCATACAAGATGTACTTGATGTATAGGTGTAATCTGATGTATAGAAGGTATATATATACCTGATGCATGGAAGGTGTATATATATACCTGACCTATAGGAGGTGTATACCTGATGTATAGAAGGTATATATACCTGATGCATGGAAGGTGTATACCTGACCTATAGGAGGTGTATACATGATGTATAGAAGGTATATATACCTGATGCATGGAAGGTGTATACCTGACCTATAGGAGGTGTATACATGATGTATAGAAGGTATATACCTGATGTTTAGAAGGTGTATATCTGATGTATATGAGGTGTATATCTTAAGGTTTTTTTTATCAATTGTCGCCCTTTTACTCTTGGGGAGGGGATACATTTACATGATGTGATCATGTGGACGCTAAGGGCCTGAGGGGCGGAGCCAAAAGGGGCCAAAATAGCTCAAACAATAATTGTCTACTTCCAGATCCAGATATGTTAAAAAACCTTCTCATGGATGGAAATATCCTGATGTGCTTAATCAAAATGTGAATTTCACAACCCCTTGGGTACTAATTCCTCCCTGGTGAGGGGCAAAATTCCCTGCTATACATATATATATATGTAATTTTTATTTTTGACATATCACAACAACAAATAACAATTGCATTACAACTCAGGTGACCTGTTAGGCCCATGGGGCTCTTGTTTTAAAGTACTGTATTAGTTGGATGTGTTGATATTGGCTTCCACTAATAATCCCACTACTTACCTATAATTAGATGTGGGTTACAGGGACATGTCACATGCTTATTAAGTGTGCTGCAAAATATATATATATACTGTGATGCCCATTCATTATATATAATATCTTCCATTGTATATATAAACGAGTACCTGGTAGTATTTGACATGTCCCTATAGACTTAAGGTTATGGAATTATGCACTATAGAAATATTCAAATTTCAAATATTTCATATCAATATGGATTGAGTGTCGGTGCTATATATTTAAAAAAAAAACTGTTCAAAACAGTTGATTCTCAAACAGAATTTGTTCTGTATCAAAAAAAAAAATGTTTTTGGGCTGAAATATCTATCCTAGATGTTATTATTAAAAAGAGTTATACAATACTTATCCACAAGTTTTTGAGTCTTGAACCCAAATGTTAAGCACATGTATCAGTAAACTGAATATTTCTCTTGGAATCTGCTTCAAACTTTGGGGGAAAAGTCCTATTTGTACCATATGCTCCCCTGAGTGATAAAATTAATTTGGAAAAGGAACTGAAATACAAGACATTCTTCATTTTTGAAATTATATCTAAGTTCCCTAAGTTTATGATCTAGTGCCAGTCACTTTTCATAAATAAAGATGATGAGATTAATTTAATATAATAAAATAACCTTGCTATAGTGATATGTACACATATATAGTATAAATATATTTTATTATGAATTTTTTCTTGGACTTAAAATTAACCTAGAGAGGTCAAGTTAGATCAAATGTAAAAATAAGCAGTTAATGTCCTGGGTATAATAAATTGTATTTCATTATAAATATTCTTCGTGTATTTTAGATTTGCTTATATCTGGTAGATTGCAAGATTCTATACCACCAGGTCTAAATTAACATATAGGACAGTCTTTGAAAAATGGGACAAAATCTAAACAAGCTACTTGGGGTGGGCGACTCACTGAGGGTAGGTTAACTAATTTGATTGGTTTGGAAGAACACTGAACAGATGTACATGTCCTTTACCTGTTAACTCACAAAATACATGAACACAAACTTTAAACCATGAATTTATAACACAGGAAAATCAGCAGAAATCAATAAATTTTGCTTACAACAAAGAAGACAAGTGATGTGAATGATAAATGTTGAATCAACTAACTCAGCTTAGCTTTCTGACATCAACTATAAGACAAGACCTCATTAATAATATAAACCAAACCCCTCCCCCCTCCCCAAATCAAACCAAACTAGAATTCTTCAACGAGGCTGTGTACGAAAAATAACATAAATCAAGATGAATTTTAAAATCTCACTTTATATTTGAGTATGTGGTGACTGATTATGACAATATTTCTGCGCTCTTACCGAGTTTGGCATCATTACACCTTCACAATATAAATCCTCAGCAAACTACTTTCATTTGTCTCATTCTGGTTGAAAATGACGTACAACAGATTAATAAATGACAGTGATTCTCACTAATAAGAACTATATCTAAACCTTTGGATTTTAGGCCAACGAAACTAAATTGTCATTTGAATAAATAAACATGTAGCAACTTCACAGACATTTTCTAAGTTCTCAATGGCTCTTTAGAACACTCGAGTTTCTTTCGGAAAAGTTTATAACTCTGGATTATTCCAGCCATTTTAGAATATATTAATGTGTGATTCCTAACACTAATATTTTAAAATGTATGCGTAAATATAATAATTAATATTTGAATATATCAACTAAAATTCTATATTGGTGTTAGTTATACTTCCTGTTGAAAAATAAGCTAGTTTTACACAGCTCCCGTTTATCGGACTCGTGATCTAAGTACAACGGGAGCAGTCATTTTCAAACATTTCTTCTTTGTCGGTCTCGCGAGAGTCTCGTTCTTTATAAGATATCTCATAAACTTTTCTTTATAAGATATCTTATATCTTTTATGAGATATCTTATATAATATATAAGATATCTTATAAAGAAAATTAATTGAGATATCTTATAAAAGATATAAGATATCTTATATATTATATAAGATATCTTATAAAAGATATAAGATATCTTATAAAGAAAAGTTTATGAGATATCTTATATCTTTTATAAGATATCTTATATCTTTTACAAGATATCTTATAAAGTATATAAGATATCTTATAAAAGATATAAGATATCTCATAAACTTAAAATAAGATATCTTATATGTTTATAAGATATCTCATATGTTTATAAGATATCTTATATGTTTATAAGATATCTCATATGTTTATAAGATATCTTATATAATATATAAGATATCTTATATAATATATGAGATATCTTATATAATTTGGTTAAGTACTGGATCAACATTGCTCCATGAATAAATGACAACTTGGCTTGCCATATCCGCCACCCAGTACAATTAATCGGCATTAACAGATCACTCGAAAACCCAAAATCTCATCGTCGATTGGGACAAAGCCAAAATAACAAAAAGAGAACAACATACAAAAACGAGACAAATCAAAGTAGTTATCAACATTAGGAAAACTCAAAACATGAACGGAGACGAGGGGGGACACCATGGCGAACTGAGTCATTTGTATGATCTGAGACTGAAATAGCAGGGGAGGGGGCTAGATCTATACTCTACCTATAAACTCTTCAGTAGAGTGTGCATACGATTTCTATCAATAGGCGAAACGTCACGGGTCGAGTGACATAAGAAATACATTTTCTTCACATCGTTGTACACGTAAACAATACAAATTGCTTACTCCGTCTAAGCTTCTAAGCGTCTAAGGGACCAGTCGGTCTTAAACGTTGCGACACGTTTATTGGGAACATTATTTGTGTATAACGTGAAACTTTGATATTAATATTTCTGAACTGATGAATAGCAGGCACAAACAAGTGATTTAAAGATAAAATAAAGTGATAGAATTTCCAATGAGCTAGGACATTATTATATCAACGTTAATACGCTAATGTGACGTCTAACGAGAGACTTAAATTGCTGCGATTATTACTGATCCACTACTTGGATAGTCTACTATAGCTGAAGTCAACATGCCCCAATACTATATTGAATCCTCTAATGTCAGAACAGACTCTTCATCTGACGTCAGTTCTAACAAGTCATTAACGTTTTCCAATTTTGAACCCATTTATGTCAAATCTCCCTAGCTGTAGCTGCCGTCAGCTCTTACAAGACAATTGGCATATAACATCTTCAGTAGTTGTTGGGAGACACGCTCTTCAAAAGATTCTCCATTCATTCATCTTTAAGTAGGTAATTGTTTATCACGCGCGTGCCTTATCATAATGGTCAGTAAATAAAATAGTTCGTAGAGTAAGTGTAGCTTTAGGGCAATAAGACGTTTGTGCCGTCGTTCATCACTTCACGGCAACATCTGGTTGTATACACACCATAGTTTTACTCCTCACCGTAATAATAGCGTACACTCGTAATTAACCACGTGGATATGTAACATATGAAGTGATCATAACCTCCCAATAATAATTGAACAGAGGTATTAAGCATGATATATCTCTAATTGTTCAGCGAGCAATAAAAGTTCACAGCACGTGTTGTCAAATAACGCTGAAAGAATACGCTATAGATGGGTAAATGATGAAGATACAGATAGTTATTCATCTACATATTGTTTTGCCCTCCTGAGACGAACATTGGATACATGCTTCTGTCAATTATTTTTTTATATATCTACTCATACCAGGTACAGGAATGATTACTAAACTTCATATTTAACTGCAAGATATGCCTAAATACAGAATCATTTAGTATGTTAAAAGCGGCCGCACTAAAAGGCTACATTAACCAATCAACTGAAAGTATTCAAAAGAAACTGTTCCTGTAACGCTGCTTATTTTCGTGTGAGTCGATTTCAACATCGTCTTGTATTTATTCAAACTACAACTATACATATTTTGAATATCTCGTTTACAAACAAACGACAACGAAACATTCTATGATTTATGATTTTGGTTGCAAATCCACGAAATGCTTTATCAACGAAATTGATACTTTACAGCAAAAAAGGATATAGAGGATGATGCACTTTTCCCGATGTCCACCTTCCTATGTTGATTAAAAAGATGAAAATGAATCTATGGGTCTATATGTTTTATCTTATTAAACAGTTACCGACAGAATGCAAAATTAATAACAAAATGTTAAATAGATCACAAACTCGATAAAACTAAGAACAAATGAATTATTAACATGAATAAGCTTAAAAACCAACAAGGAAATCGAGAGGAAGTGTTCCGAAAGAGTAAGCGTCTTCTTCATCATGGATGACAAGTTGAAATTTAGGTCAAATCCAAGTAATGTCATGTCCTCAAAGCAGGACCCGGGGTAGTGACAACGAAGTAACCAATATCAGTTTTATTAATATCATATTGCAGTGTACATTGTATTTGGATGATTCTTGTGATGCCTAAAGTATACTTTAATCGTTTCATGTAGGACTGATTGGCAGTGTGCTAATTAACCAGTTCAGCTGTCGAGTGGCGTTCCTAGTGGGGTCGGTGATTATGACGTCAGGACTTCTGGCAAGCTCATTTGCAGAATCGTTGGAAGTCCTCATTATATCGTACGGTTTCACAGCAGGTAATAAAGTGGATAACTTGACGTGTTTGTGACGTGTGTGCTCGACTCTGACGTGCTGACTTTATGTTCGCACATTGTTAGTATTTGAGCGAAGGAAACGGATTAGTTTTCGAAATTTGTTTACGGATCAATTTGTTTGTCTAATTGTATAAAAATCATAATGTACTAAGTTTCATTAATTCAGTTCTTATCGAATATTGTCTTCCCAAGTGAAAGGGAAATGTTTCGTTAATCAAATGCACATTTCATATTGCTTTTTCATCTTAACCGAAAATGATTTTATACGTTACAATGTGATAGTTACAGCTCACTGGAAACTATTGCGATATGCATGGAAAAACATATGTGACGAGTTAGATGTTTTATTTTGGCTGTGTTCAGTAGCCATTTTGTAGTTCTACCACCTTAGGTATTTTAACACTATACATGTAAGTGCATATAACGCATAGAGTTCTCTGTAAGTACCCAGCGTTATCTTCCTTGCTCCTGTTTTGTTTGACAGGTCTAGGCTCTGGAATCGTATTCACAAGTGGTATTGTGGTTGTTGGCCTTAACTTTCAGAAGAAGAGAAGCGTGGCTACAGGATTCGCCTCGTGCGGAGCAGGTGCAGGAGCGTTCATATTCCCACCCCTTATCCAGCTAGCCCGAGAAGAATATGGTGACAGTGGATTCTTTATCCTGTTAGCAGGAATGGCTCTTAACATCTCTGTGTTCGGATCGCTTTGCTTCCCGTCATATTTAGAATTCAACAAAAATGCCCCAGAAATGACAGCATCAACCTTATCCTTATCTCTTCACAGCTTAACAAAACGACAACACTTTTGTAAACTGATATCCCTCTTAAGGAATCTACCTTTTGTTTGCATATGTCTTAGTCAGCTTGCCAGTCATATTGGAATTTACATGATGTATGTCCATATTCCCAATTTTGCTATTTTGCAAGGATCTACCGATGCCCAGGCCTCCATCTTGCTTTCCGTCAGTGGGATTATGAATTGTGTGTCACGTCTGCTAGTCGGAATGGCCGGAAACGCTGATAACATTTCCAACATTGTGTTGTATTTCGGCACTTTTGGTATGTTAGGGATCTCTACAGTGCTATTCCCTCTATATGGTAATACTTATATTGGTCAGATAACTTACTCAGTAATTTTGGGGACGTATTCAGGAAGTTGCTATGTCTTGTTGAGTACAATTACTACAGAGATGGTTGGCATTGAATTCCTTGTATCAGCATTTGGAATCGCGATGATTTTTACCGGCTTTGGGACACTCATGGGCCCACCACTTGCAGGTAGGTTTTATAGCCGAAGATTCATTTTAACATCAGACAATCGTTTTTTGTTGGTGTAACGTTTGTAAGTAACAATCACAATTTATATTAAAATCAGTTTCAAGCGTTAAAAATAAATACATATTTTTCAAATTCACGTTGTTTTGAAGATGAAATTTGTTTTCATTTGTTGTTAGCGATTTGTTCTTATCTAAAAGACAAATATGTGTACAGATTTCGTGAATTGCTTTCTATAACTCATTGCAACCTGTAAATAACAAGAAACAACAAACTTGATGTATATTCAAAAATAACAATTGTCCAATCGATTTTACACTTAGTGTTTTCACTGAAAACAAAAGTTATTAAATGAAAGTGAAAATATTGGACAAGATTTCAATTCAAAAAGTGATAGAAGGTATTAGTAATGAATGAATGGTGATTTTTCCTGAAAATGCTATTTTTAGCCTTCATAGGTGCTGATAATGTAACATTGTATCTCAATGACAGGGTTTATAGTGGACGGCGGAGGGACCTACGAATTATCCTTCACTTTAGCAGGTAAATATACAGTTTGTGTCAAATACGTAAAAAATTATAGAAGAAGGACATGATAAAAACCCTCATTTAGCAAGTAGATATACTAGTATTGTCGTCTTTATTATAAATTAATATTTTGTTTATTATTCTTATTTTTTGTAATTACTCCAATATATGCAGAAACACATTATTTAAAATATATCTTAAAGCAACAATAGAGAAGAGGTACGGGTTTGGGGAGGTGTTTATAATTAGAAATTGTTCTGTTACATTAAACAGTATGTTTTTCATTGCTCAGTTTAATATTACATGAACAAAACACATTAGAAACTTTTCAGATGAATTACAATGTATTATAAACGCGTTTTCCACTGATAGTTCAAGATTCGAATTGAAATATTTGCTTATTAAACAGTACCACGTCTATCCGTAGAACTACACGCTTTATAAATATTAATTAACATTCAATTATGTTTCCGTTGTTCTTCAGGTTGCTGTATACTACTGGCAGCTGTATTAGGAATAGCCGCAGAGGTGTTCCGGAGGATATACTACCCTGATGAAGTGGTTTGGATAAAAGATCGAAAAACATTGAAGCCTCACGAGAACCACAGTCTTCACACAGAGCTAATACCACAGCAAAAAGCCAATACACTTAATCTCTATCATAAGGAAAACAGTTCACACGAAGTTATGTTACCACTACAAACAGATCATAAAATTTACACACATGAACACGAAACAGGCTGCATTCATTAAGCGTTAACATCACAACAAACATACCATAAACTGTTTGTATTTTGCACATTAACAAGAGAAAACCTCACTACAAACAAAACTTATAGCACTTGAAAAAGGAAGCACTACATACAGAACATAATAATAAATACAGTAATAAATTATTTCTCGATTTAAATGTCACATTCCATTACAAAAGAAATGATTGCAGATGCAACTTATTTTCAGATGCATGTTATTCTTATTGTGGATGAGTAAAGAGCTTGTTACTATTCCTAAATATATAATAATACGTATTTAGGAAAATGAAGTTGCCTTTTGGTACGTTATCGTTATTTTCTGGTATTCTATTGTTACGTATACTGGAACATTATTGTTGCTTTCTGCTGCATTATTGATACAATGAGTTATAAAATGTACATTTTCGTTACTAATTGGTATATTAAAGTAAGTATTTGATGGTTAATAGTACTCTAGTGTCTGTTATTATTACTTACTTGTATATTTTAGTTACTTTCGCTTCACATACTCGAAAACAGATTACGTTCAATTGGTACACTGCCCAATCTTGAGTTTATACAGAAACGGATACCTCATAACGAAAAACAATAAAAAAGTACCATGGCACAACAAACTAGACTAAAATCAGCACACAAGACGAAAAGACAAAAGGGGAATATGTGGAGAAACTGAAGCACACGAAAAAAACATCCTGAACCCCCGCGAAAACAGAGGTAACTCCAGATGTCACGGAAAATTGAGCGTTTCGTAGACTTTGTTAATCGTCTGTGATGATGTTTCAAGTAAGTCAAGGAAATTACGTAGTCATAAATGGTCTAAGGCATAGTTCATTTTCTATTATCATACACAAAAGTGGCATATATTCCCTATGTCCTATCTAATTATACATACTCTTAATAAACAAAAAAACGAAGAGAACAGGACATGTCCCGAAGTCTGCAACGTATGGTTTAAGAGTGCTTTTTCATTTTCGCGTTTGGAATTTTGGTGCTGGAGACTTTTAATGTCTTCCTTTTTTTGTTTCGTCTTCTCGCGATTCCTGTTGCTCCCTATTCACATCAAATCTACATTCTGAACGTTGGTTATCATGTTTATATCACTCTCATTAGTTTATTTTTAAATTAAAAAAGTTAAAGGTAAATAACTCAATGATGCTCGATGTCTTTTTCGTTAAATTAAACAACATGCAGTCTCTCGATGAGGAAACTCCATCTCATAATAAAAAACAAAAACTAGCATTTCTTCAAACATTTTGTTCCTTAGAGGGGGAGATAACGTTTATTATCAATAACGAAATACCCTTTAATATAAATCATATAATGTACTTCCGAGAAGGTAAATATCACGTTCCATTCATTTTCATATTTGAAAGCAGTTAGCAAATATAAACAAAACAACATTCTTATAACAATACTTAAATTATTATTTCCATGTCGTTGGTAAAACACCATTGCGGCAATTTAACTAACTAACATACGTCAGCAAATATGAAAAAAGAAAAGTATACACATGTTGGCATATATATTGCAATGTTGAGCTACACCTGATATATTGATTGAATGTATTGAATTTTGAAGACATAAAATTATAGGAAGAGGAATGTTAAAAGTATTTATAAATAAATTTACCATATTAACTAATACAGCAGAAGATATATTCATTTATTTCATTTGACATCATAGGTGGTTTATCAATAGTGATTTTTTTACGACCAAATGCTGTCACGTCTTTTGTTGTCCTAGTAAAAATCCATTTACTTCCTCACTTTCCGTACTGTTAACGTAATCAGTCGTAGTGACAATAATAACCGGTGGTTTTTCTATAAAAGATTCTCCTAAGACATTCTTTGCAGTGTCACAGTTTCCTACCAGCATATCATCACTGGTATCTACAGTGATTTCCTGATTGTCGTGAGTAAACGATTCTCCTGTCTTGTTGAAACATGATACCGCCAGTCCCAAAACAGCAGCTATTGTGATACAAAATCCTGCAAAATATATAAAAAGACATATAGCTTCAAATACAATTAATATTTCCATGTTTTAAGTGTTACCTGTCTAAACGACGTCTTCTTCAGCTTAATGCGACTGTACATTTCATTAGTATTATGGATGTTGTGGTTAGTGCTAATGCTCTTCAGTTTGGATGTGTTTTATAAAAATTAACATATACGTGTGTTTATGTGTAGTCAAAATGTTGCTGTATAGAATGCAAAGGAAAATATACTTAAACATGTAACCATAGCAATAGAGAACCGAATGATATCACGTATTTACATACTAAGGGGAAATCATTCTTTTAGTCATAATAATGTGTCACGATATTATTTCGTTATTGGATAGGGATGTGTTTTATGAACAGCCATACAATCTGGCAAGTCTTCATCGGACTCTCGGATTTGTCGTTCAGAGGTTTGTTACATTGTAATTTAAAGCCTACCTGCTAGAATAAATGAATTTTCATATGATCCACCATTGTCGACGATTGCACCTGTTGATAACAAGCACATATGTGCATATTCTTACGAATAACAAAATACATGCAGTTCTTTTTAAACCGCGGACGCTGTTAAAAACTACATTACATCTCTATCGTGTTACGCCATTCATCAAACAGGTATATAAACTGAAACACATTTCAAACTGTTATATAACTAATACACATAAATGTAATTTTGAATGGACAATTATAGGAGAGGAATTTTTTTATTGACGGGCGAAACATAGACAGTACAGTGTAATCTAAATTCAGTTTTATCGCGAGAGACATATCTTCTGATATCAAATGTTAATGCAAATAATCTTATTTCATTTCACAAATTCGGTACTCGCTAATACAGCACAATCACAAAAATAAGTGTCCGCAAAAACATAAATTACAAAATAAGACAACACAAGAATGCTTTTTAAAAGAAATCTTACTATAATGTTTCGGATTTACTTATTTGATTCATTGAAATGTTCGAAGAATAAATTGGAAGAAATGGGGAAAAAGAGTACGTACCTGCAAGGGGTGGTCCTATTATTGAACCAATACCACAAAAGAACATGCATATTCCGAAGCCTGTGGCTAATTCCTCTATACCGACAAGTTGTATAATCAGTGTGTTGATGATGGAGTAGCAACATCCGGAATACAATCCAAGGAATATTGCATAGGCGAGTTGGCCTCCATACGTAAAGGCATACAATGGGAAGAGCAAAGTCGATAAACCTAGCAGGCCAAATGTTCCAAAATACATTACATTTTCATTAATACTTTCAGAATTAGCAGCCATCCCAACTAATACACGAGAAATACAATTACATAGTCCTCCTATAGCCATAAGGAAAGATGCATTTAATGGTGACGAACCCATCTCTATTACATACCTGGGGAAATGTACGTACACAAGGTAAATTCCGACACATGCAAAAAACATGCTTAGACAAAAACAAAGCAATGACAACTGTTTTAGAATGGCAAAAGAATGTAAAATAGTTTTTAAAATATAAAATCTATTTTTAGATTTTTTGCTTAAGGACTTTTGATGCCGAATTTGTTTTCGTTCAGATTCTAGTTTAGATGGAAAGAATAGACATCCAAACAGGGCATGATGCAGAGCGATGCCGGCTATGATGAAGAAGAATCCTCTGTTGCCGTATGCCTCTCGGGCAGCCTCTACTACCGGAGCTAGGACGAAGACGCCAACACCACACCCTGACACAGCAATACCACTAGCTATATTCCTTTTGTAGTGAAAGTTAAACCCGAGGACTACCACTGAGGCCGAATACGTCAAACCTCCCCCAATGCCTGAAATGGGAAACAAGAAAAAAGTCACTCGGTTGGTTCCATGAATATTGCTAAAACCTTCTTCAAATAGTCACTGAAGTAAAGGATCCCCATACCACTGCAAAAAGGTATCATTGTGCACTGGAAATCGATTTAATTAATTTCTGAAAAGAAATCTCTTGCGGTACTCATAAGTAAAATAATAAAGATAAAATAAACATAAAATAATCAACAATAGTGTTCCGAGTGTAAAACAAATCAGCGGGGCCACAGTAATCTCCTAAACGAAATTAAGGGGAGGTCACTGTATACTAGTATATAAAAAAATCACAATGCAGTGGAACAGTGATCCTTAAGATTTCATATTCACATGGTGATCGAGAGAAAAGGTGCAATGCTGTTGATACTGTTATGTGCAAATGCTTTCATTTGGGTTGAACAGTTAGTAATATATTGCTTATTTCGAGATGGTGTTCCCCTTTTTATTTCTGATATTAGTTAAATATCGGTTTACGGTATTGATATTCTGCATACAGAATTTCTAGAATGAAAAATGATCTGTTATAAACACTTACGACACATAAAAAGATGTGAGTATTGAGGGATTTCAAAATGTATTGAAAAGTAGTCTATACAGGTCAGCGTATCAGTGAATGGACCAATTTTCATTCGGACATGCGGATAGAATTGAACAGTTACATACCTGTGTAATGATCTATGTACTAGTGCAATGGCACAATATACTGATCATAGGGTAGTGCACAAATCTAATAGGTGATGAATGGGAAGTATATAGAAGTACCCCCAATTCCTCCAAAGAAGAGGATGACCAAGTCGAGGGATGGGACAACCGCACAGACAGCAAACCCGCTTGACATTATGATAGCCCCGATGATCATGGTCACTCGACAGCTGTACCGGTTGATCAGGGCACTGGCTAGGACACCTGTGTGGAAAAGAAAAGGGAGTAGCGTTGTATGTGTATCAGAGGTAAAGTTTACATAATGGAAATACAAATAAATAATTACTAAGTTTCGATACATTTCTTTAGAAATATCTGATACATTTTTGTACGCGGCAAATTAACGACAAAACAAGACGTGGTGGAATTGCCTGGTTTTGACAGGACATTTTTAATGAGTCAGTACTAAATTAAGTTTCGAATCGATGAACTGACCTGTCAATAATACCATCCATATGTATACACCAGTATCATATTGATATGTTAGAGATACTATTCACAGGTATAATCTAGTATCAAATTAACCTGTCAGAGCTACCATCACCAGGTATAATCCGGTATTAAACTCACCTGTCAGAGATAACATACCCAGGAATAAACCGGCAGCCCAGGCCGTTTTACCCACTTCCTCATCAAATCTTTCTAAGATGGCGTTATGTATGACACCGACGGCATATAGGAAACAACCGGAGACCATATGCGCGCCGAACGAGCCTGCCATCACAGCCCAGGACCATCCCTTGTCCGCCACGGAAAGTCGACGTTCCCGCATTCTCCTGAAACAATATGAAGTGTTCTTCATATTATTTTTCCTCTTTCGCGTTCTCCTGACAGATGAACGTAACACACAAACACATGTGATTGTACCCACACATTGTATAAACTGTGGTAATCGATGGAGTATTGCACCATACAGCTGTTAGGACTAATGAAAAATACTATGCATAAAGTATTTCCTGTATGGCATTTTTGTACACCATAATATGCCATTTCTGTCCTACAGTATATGACGACATATCTTTAAAATTAAGTCTTATCAGTAAGTGTTATTTTTTACAGACTGGACGGTATCACATAGTCCTTTGTATGAATTCAAATAAAAATAAAAATCATATTATAAATCATATTAGCAAGTGGAGTAGCTAATACTTGTGTTGTGTGTTGTTGGTTAAACTTTGTGTCCACTAAATAACGTCATTAATCGAAGGATGTTCTTCTTACGGAGTATCGATTGTTAATAAAGATAGAAGGTGCAAAAAGGGTCCTACTTATTCAAACTTATGACACGCACAATACCTTATGAAACACATAAACTGATGGCAGATATAAAAAGCACAAAGATCTAATTACAAACAAGAATGGTTAACAAGAACTGATTACAAACAAGAATGGTTTACAAGAACTGATTACAAACATGAATGGTTTACAAGAACTGATTACAAACATGAATGGTTAACAAGAACTGATTACAAACATGAATGGTTTACAAGAACTGATTACATACATGAATGGTTTACAAGAACTGATTACGAATATAAAGGTCGTACAATAACTGATTTAAACTTGGAGGACACACCTAAACTAATTACTAACCTGAATGGTTCACAAAAACTAACTTATAAAAACACGAAAAGCACAAAAGAACTTATTCCAAATATGAGGGTACATACAACCTGATTCCCGACTTGGAGGGCATACAACAAAACATTCCAGACTTGGAGGGCACTAAACAACTGATTCTAGACTTGGAGGACATACACCAACTGATTCCAGACTTGGAGGGAACTAAACAACTGATTCTGGCTTGGGGGCATACAACAACTGATTCCAGACTTGGAGGGCATACAACAACTGATTCCAGACTTGGAGGGCATACACCAACTGATTCCTGACTTGGAGGGCACTAAACAACTGATTCTAGACTTGGAGGGCATACAACAACTGATTCCAGACTTGGAGGGCATACAACAACTGATTCTAGACTTGGAGGGCATACAACAACTGATTCCAGACTTGGATGGCACTAAACAACTGATAACGGACTTGGAAGGCATACAACAACTGATTCCAGACTTGGAGGGCATACAACAACTGATTCCAGACTTGGAGGGCATACACCAACTGATTCCTGACTTGGAGGGCACTAAACAACTGATTCTAGACTTGGAGGGCATACAACAACTGATTCCAGACTTGGAGGGCATACAACAACTGATTCTAGACTTGGAGGGCATACAACAACTGATTCCAGACTTGGAGGGCACTAAACAACTGATTCCAGACTTGGAGGGCATACAACAACTGATTCCAGACTTGGAGGGCACTAAACAACTGATTCCAGACTTGGAGGGCATACAACAACTGATTCCAGACTTGAAGGGCACTAAACAACTGATTATAGACTTAGAGGGCATACACCAACTGATTCCAGACTTGGAGGGCACTAAACAACTGATACTAGACTTGGAGGGCATACAACATCTGATTTTAGACTTGGAGGGCACTAAACAACTGATTCCAGACTTGGAAGGCATACAACAACTGATTCCAGACTTGGAGGGCAAGCAACAACTGATTCCAGACTTGGAGGGCAGACAACAACTGATTCCAGACTTGGAGGGCATACAACAACTGATTCCAGACATGGAGGACATACAACAACTAATTCCAGACTTGAAGGGCACTAAACAACTGATTCTAGACTTGGAGGGCATACACCAACTGATTCCAGACTTGGAGGGCACTAAACAACTGATTCTAGACTTGGAGGGCATACAACAACTGATTCCAGACTTGGAGGGCACTAAACAACTGATTCTAGACTTGGAGGGCATACAACAACTGATTCCAGACTTGGAGGGCACTAAACAACTGATTCTAGACTTGGAGGGCATACAACAACTGATTCCAGACTTGGAGGGCACTAAACAACTGATTCTAGACTTGGAGGGCATACAACAACTGATTCCAGACTTGGAGGGCACTAAACAACTGATTCTAGACTTGGAGGGCATACAACAACTGATTCCAGACTTGGAGGGCACTAAACAACTGATTCCAGACTTGGAGGGCATACAACAACTGATTCCAGACTTGAAGGGCACTAAACAACTGATTATAGACTTAGAGGGCATACACCAACTGATTCCAGACTTGGAGGGCACTAAACAACTGATACTAGACTTGGAGGGCATACAACATCTGATTTTAGACTTGGAGGGCACTAAACAACTGATTCCAGACTTGGAAGGCATACAACAACTGATTCCAGACTTGGAGGGCAAGCAACAACTGATTCCAGACTTGGAGGGCAGACAACAACTGATTCCAGACTTGGAGGGCATACAACAACTGATTCCAGACATGGAGGACATACAACAACTAATTCCAGACTTGAAGGGCACTAAACAACTGATTCTAGACTTGGAGGGCATACACCAACTGATTCCAGACTTGGAGGGCACTAAACAACTGATTCTAGACTTGGAGGGCATACAACAACTGATTCCAGACTTGGAGGGCACTAAACAACTGATTCTAGACTTGGAGGGCATACAACAACTGATTCCAGACTTGGAGGGCACTAAACAACTGATTCTAGACTTGGAGGGCATACAACAACTGATTCCAGACTTGGAGGGCACTAAACAACTGATTCTAGACTTGGAGGGCATACAACAACTGATTCCAGACTTGGAGGGCACTAAACAACTGATTCCAGACTTGGAGGGCAGACAACAACTGATTCCAGACTTGGAGGGCATACAACAACTGGTTCCAGACATGGAGGACATACAACAACTAATTCCAGACTTGAAGGGCACTAAACAACTGATTCTAGACTTGGAGGGCATACACCAACTGATTCCAGACTTGGAGGGCACTAAACAACTGATTCTAGACTTGGAGGGCATACAACAACTGATTCCAGACTTGGAGGGCACTAAACAACTGATTCTAGACTTGGAGGGCATACAACAACTGATTCCAGACTTGGAGGGCACTAAACAACTGATTCTAGACTTGGAGGGCATACAACAACTGATTCCAGACTTGGAGGGCACTAAACAACTGATTCTAGACTTGGAGGGCATACAACAACTGATTCCAGACTTGGAGGGCATACAACAACTGGTTCCAGACATGAAAGACATACAACAACTATTTCCAGACTTGAAGGGCACTAAACAACTGATTCTAGACTTGGAGGGCATACACCAACTGATTCCAGACTTGGAGGGCACTTAACAACTGATTCTAGACTTGGAGGGCACTAAACAACTGATTCTAGACTTGGAGGGCACTAAACAACTGATAACGGATTTGGAAGGCACTAAACAACTGATTCCAGACTTGGAGGGCACTTAACAACGGATTCCAGACTTGGAGGGCATACAACAACTGATTCCAGACTTGGAGGGCACTAAACAACTGATTCTAGACTTGGAGGGCATACAACAAGTGATTCCAGACTTGGAGGGCACTAAACAACTGATTCCGGACTTGGAAGGCACCAAACAAATGATTCCAGACTTTGAGGGCACTAAACAATGGATTCCAGACTTGGAAGGCATACAACAACTGATTCCAGACTTGGAGGGCACTAAACAACTGATTCAAGACTTGGAGGGCACTAATCAACTGATTCCAGACTTAGAGGGCATACAACATCTGATTTTAGACTTGGAGGGCACTAAACAACTGATTCCAGACTTGGAGGTCATACAACAACTGATTCCAGACTTGAAGGGCACTAAACAACTGATTATAGACTTGAAGGGCATACAACAACTGATTATAGACTTAGAGGGCATACAACAACTGATTCCAGACTTGGATGGCACTAAACAACTGATTCCAGACTCGGAGGGCACTAAACAACTGATTCCAGACTTGGAGGGCACTAAAAATCTGATTCCAGACTTGGAGGGCATACAACAATTGATTACAGACTTGAAGGGCACTAAACAACTGATTCCAGCCTTGGTGGGCACTAAACAACTGATTTTAAACAAGGCTGGCACACAGGAATTGATGAGGAAAATGAAGAGTTCACGAGAACTGACTCAAACAAGGAGTGTAAAAGTAACTGATGACAAACATGAAGGGTTCACAAGATCTGATGTCATATAAAGAATGTACACAAGAACTGATGACATACATGGAAGGCACCCAAGGACAGATAACATACATGGATTGCGCTATTCTGTCTTTGCGTTTTGCAGAGTTATCCTCTCTTGTGAGCAGGTATTGGTTGTTACGTCATTTGTTTGTGAGGGTAGCGTCATAAATTTTTGAGAAAACGACGTAATATTTCTCACACAAACCAATGACGTAACAATCAATACCTGCTCACAAGAGAAGATAGTAATTCTTAGGTGATGTTTTAGATGATGCTTAGTTTCTAAAAGACAATAACTCATTAATCATATTAAGTATAGGGTAAAATTTATACTTAACCTTTACGGTGGTCTAGTTGACAGTTTTGATAATCATTTATCTAAGATAGTATTTGAAGCACATTTTATAGTCTTATTTCTATTATTATATGTCTCTGTTATAATACCAATTGATTTTGTTATGTTTTGCTCGTCAGTCCTACCAAAGGATACACTAATAAACGCAAAATGTGTTCCAAAGTATGTATATATAGTTTTGTGTGAAAATGTGATAGACATACAATGTACTTAGCATGTTTTACTAGTATATTTGCCTTTCTATGTTTCGAGCGCTATATTAGACATATTTTGCTCTAACAGTTCCTGTCCAACTTCTAAAGGTGAACATACCTAAGTAATTCTTGTGTGATATACAAGTATTCATTCACTATTTTAAAACTATGTCTTTTATTTACATATTCTGAATACTACTTATCTGTGATCACATTTAATGCTTTTCATATATTAACACTATTTGTATATATATATCCCGGGGGCCTTTGTAGGCAGGGGACTCCCAATCACTTAGAAACATGGGGTATGTATTCTTTCTTTTTCTGTGATGATTATTACTGTTTTTTATTAATATATGTAATTATCTCCCTTTACTTGTAATATAATATGTTATTGTTATTTTACAAATGTTTGTCGCAATAATAGCTCTCAAGGGCTAATGTTCCTTGTTTACCTGTATGCGACGTTAAATAAAGTTTCTTGTTTCTTGTATCTTGTATACTATAGAGTTATAAAATATAACTCACCATTCATAATATGTACTAGAGCTGAACTCATTTTATGTAAAACATTCAATCAAGATAGTTTGTTTTTTAAGCGCAAACCCTCGTAAACCCAGTTTTTCTCTGTGTGTTGGTGCTTTGGTAATATGTTTTGTCATTATGTGTTAATGCTGTGAAATAGTTTTGTTATTTTGTGTTATTGCTGTTATATATATGAACATTGAGTGTTTGATACTGTTATATATTTTGTCTTTTTTTGTGTTGATGCTGCGGTATATACGTTTATATTTTAAGGTAATTCAAGATCTAGATACGTGTGGTTCCAGCTCGGTAACCTAACCATCAAATACTTATCGTAGGACAGAAACAAATGTTTCCTTAGCACAGTGTCAGACTAAAAGCCATTTTCATGACTGAAAAAAAGTTAAAAATGTGCGCAACCGGCCGACAGGATTTCCCCCGCTGTTATTGTTGTTGTAATATATTAAAGCTTTCAACTAACTAAGGAGGTCTATCGCTTAGATATTCATTAATGTAGGCCACTGCCCTACCTTGCCACTTATAGGCCAGGGGAGGCCTACCTCAGAGAACTAAGAATGGAAACACAGCTTGTATGTTAAGACTTTTCCAGATGTGAAAGGAGTATATTTCGACGTTTTAGATATTTAAATCAACACCTGATAAAAGTCCCTTTGGCACCTGCCAGTACAAGAATTTTATTACTTAAGTCAGTTAGCAGTGAAAAAACTTAATTTGTAGGGTCACTGTAAACATGACAAGTGATGTACAAATATATGCGGCGCATGAGAGGAAGTCCGAAATATCAGTCTCTCAAAACAGACCATGTTTTAGGCTTGAGCCCATCATAAACATAAATATTTCAGTGTCTTAAGCAGTAAACTATCTGTTTTATTTAAAATAGCCGGTTTTTGAGACTGAAGAATTCGGTCATGAGAGAAGGCGTGTTGTTACTTGCGAAAAGGAAATTTAGGTTAACAACACAAACTGTTTCATAGCAATCACGGCTATTTCTATACTTACAAGAGGTAACAGGTTTGTGCTGTGTTTGAGTAGAAAAAGTACTAACTGCATCAGGAACCCTTATAAATGTACCAAAAACTACCCTTGCGGTCACAAAATATGCACCGCATATGATGTCATTTGAGTTTGGTTTAAGCTTTGTTTTATTCAAATTTTGTTTGACAATACATCGAAATACATGTTTTATAAAACAGGAAAGGAAACAAAAACAAGTGTCGTGACACTTATGTAAATTTGTTACCTGCTTAGTAATCAGCTTTTCAACACTAGCTACAAGAATGAAGTAATATGTACAATAAAATAATTACGGGAATAGAGGAGGGGGTAATGGATTGGTATGCAGTGGAAACCAGGAATGAATAACATATCAATATACATATGATCATCAGATGTTAATATCATATTGCTCTATTGCAATGAGTATGTGGAACACGATTCTGTAAAATATAACTATGGAATAGTAGATGAAAATTTCAGCAGTCCTGTAAATGGACACTCGAAAAAGGTTAAAATGTATATACAAGTTACATAGAATAAATCACCACTAAATCAACTATTGACAAAATTAGTATGTCACAAAGCACCGCCATGATTATTAAAAACGTTACAGTTCACATACTAGCCATCACACTTATCAAATATAAGTCCATAAAACACTTTCCCGCCTCGTCCCTGGTACGTCCTGCTCTTTCAAGGTAACACATCACTTTATCAAACAATCATAATCATGGCGAGTTAGTGACATAATATGGTATAAAGAAATGCAATGGCAAAATCACTGAATAAGCATATAAATCCGAATACATTTTAAAACATAGTAGTAAAACAAATGCAACACAACATACACATATATATATATGTATATGTCAAAATGAAATTGGTAAGGACTAATCTTTAAGTTTTGAGTATATAATTTTGGACGGCTAAAAAAAACGTAGTGTTTTCTTGATGGGTTAGAGTGTCATCACCAAAGATTAAAAGATTAGTTGATAGTTGATACGGCAAACTCAGAACATGAAGCTGTCTAAGTGCTGTATATTTATTACATTTTAGCAAATCATGTGTTGAGTTCTCAATGGCACCAATTCGGAAACAATTCGGGGATGGTATGATGTTTTTCGTAAACAAGTGTTCTTTTAGGGAGCTACACGACATACGCAGTCTTGCGTGGTAGATTAGACCCAGACGTGAACCACGTAAGACTGCGTATGTCATGTAGCTCCCAGTCATTTGAGTTTGACATATACAAGTCAAGTTATAGCCATTATAGGCGTAAACGCATCAACAATTTGGAAGCCAAGACGGGTTCCTCCCCCTTTATTTGTATACCCACCACCTACCCCTATACCCACTATGATAGTTATAATAAAGAATTATACTCGTATTTGATTTCTTTCGGTCACAGTGTTTAGCATAACCCGTCATATATATATGCCTTTTGGAGGCAAGGTAGTCTAGTGGTAGGACGCCGGGCTTGTGACCAAAGGGTTGCGAGTTCGAGTCACGGCACGGCACTGTGTTGTATCCTTGAACAAGCTACTTTACTCCGCTTGTTTCAATCTACTCAGCTGTAAATTAGTACGTGGTTGGGCAGTGCTAGAATTGTTGAATGCTAGCTGTGAGCGCCGAAATGACAGCACCGGCTGTATGCTCCCCAGGGAGTTGAGAACGATATTGGATGGTTGCAAAGGCCCTATTACCACGAATAATAGTTTGTAAACCGCTTTGAGACGACCCCTACAAACTAGTAGGCTGCGATAAAGCGGTATATAAGAGCCTCCAATTATTATTATCATGCCTTTTTCACATAGTCATGATTGTCAAGTACGGAATTTAGATTTTCCTTTCTTTTTTTTGTTATTTAAATTTACAGTCGCATTAGTTTAAATTAAATGACCCGTACGTGCCTACACTATTCAAATCTGTTTTTATTTATTTTGTTTGGAATATTATACTTTATAGCATGGCCATTTAAAATGGGACTATACTAGTGCTGAGTTGTTGATTATAGTGATTAAAGAGCACGGTATAAATATAAATCTCCTTCTTTACCCAAACGTATTACATCAGTGTCCGCCCACTAACGCCGATAAAGACTTTATAAACTTAGAAACACTTGGCCATTACATTAATTTGTAATTTAACTGCAATCCGCCATATTGGACAAAGATATAACCCTGATAAATCTTACTCGCTAGAAGCAGCGAAATTCTTGCTTGATGGTAGCAGAAGAATGAGCGTTTAAAAAGTATCAATTGCTCATAAATATACACGTAAGTTTCCATAAAGTTCGGATAAGTTGTTATTATGTTGCGTGTGTATGAGGTAATTACATACTTACTGTAATTGTCATGTTCCAAATTTAATTAAGCATATACTTTATCATGTACATCAATGAAGCTGCCATATGTCACGCATACTCACTCATTATTTCACATTTTTTTTTTATAAAAAAAGATAACTTTCTCGAAATATGCTTTCTATTAAACAGGTTATATTCTGACAGTGTTCCTTCTCTATGAAAGTTGATGGTATACTTTCTGTTAAACGTTTAAATCATGAAATACACTTTCCATAAAAAATAAATCATTTTCTATAAAGCATGTCAAATGTTGACAACACATTTTCTATAAAAAAGTTATGATAATATGCAATCTATCTGTAACAAGGGTTAAATTCTGATAATATACATTCTATCGAACAGGTTAAATAATGACAAAATAGTATCTATAATTATTTTCTTTTTGATTATATGCTTTCTATAAAAAAAAAAAAAAGGCATACGGTACTTCTGTAGCGGTATAATACACTAGAAGGACATTCTACATATAGCAATATACGTAGAGCTGAGATAATTCCTACAAAACTGTAAATATCTAAAATTGGCAATTACAGGTGTTTCCTGTATCCCAAAACG